TTTAAGAAATGTTCTGTTAGTATTTCCCAAAAATTGGAAACCTCCTTGAGCTCCAGTAAAACACCTGAAAGTGATCAACTTGAGGGACTTACTATGCATATCTCAAACACAAGAAATTATGTATCCTTCAATCAGTCAGCTGATCCAAGGTAAGGCTTTACAAATATTTCTGGAATACGCTGCATATGCTTGTCAAGAAAAGCATTTCAGTGTGTAGGACTGTTTCAGTTACTTTATGTACGAATTCATACAGATAGGAATGTTCTCAGTATGTCTCAGAACAACGGAGTAAGTTGTTCACCTAAGTAAGCTTAAATTAACTGCTTGGCACTTGCTATGAAAAATGACTTTGTTTGAATAACCCGACTATAACATTGTTCAGGAATGGTGACCTTAATCTGGTCTACTTCAAAACAGCATACACATCACCCCAAAAAGGAGAACAAAGGAGTGGTTTTTTCCAAGATAGTCAGATGGACTGGAATTGGTTTTGCAAGTACCAGACACTCAATTTTTCATCCAGGGCCCCTTTGTATTAAAGGTGTAGGTGTTGCCTGATGAAGACCTAACATAATTGAGCAAAGCTATTGCATTTTTGTAAGTAAGAACCAAGAGGAGTAATGTCAAAATGGATCTGTCTAATCTGTGACCAAATTTAGCTGATATATCATGAGTTATAGATTGAATCTGAGTCTGCTATTTTCCTGAACATCCAGTCACAAGATGCTTTTTATTTTGAAGACCACAGATGCACTCAGTTGTTTGACGGATAAACTAAACATCACATACATAACTAGATTGTGAAAACCTTGTCAGATTAGATAGTTAAGCTAAGAGCATTGGCAAAACAAACTACTGTCCCTTGTGTTTCTGCGTAAGTGCAGTTTTGAAATGCTGTGTAAGCAGCATATGATCAAAAATTGCAGGTGTCTAATCCACTGAGAAGCACACTGGTGTCAGACACCAGTATCTTTAACAGTTTTAAACCAATGGCTTTGATTTTAAAAGAACAAAATGGGGATCTTGTTCTTGAACAAGAAACAATAAAGCTTTGTTCTCATTTTAGCATTCACGAAAAAGCACAGAAGAGGTTGGCAGTCATCAGAACTATATTTTCCAGAGCTCCTTTAAACCTGGGTAACAAGCAAGCTAGCATACTTGAATATCTCCCTACTCTTCGCAGTATTTGTAGGTCTGAGAAGATTAAAGAGCAAGGAAAGACTAAAAGAAGGTAAGGTTTTTTTTAGTTTTCCTAAATCCTGCTATGTTTCAGTGTACAAGTTAGTTGTATTTTAATAAAATATTTTGTAAAAATATTTCTAGATGAGAGAGGTGGATATTGCCTCTCTAAATAGAAGTATTTTCTACAATTTGGAAGTAACTTTGCCCCCTTATAGTTACTCTTACTTTTTTTTTTTTTTTACAGGTTCTTGCATTATCTTGAAGGAATTCATCTCGAAATACCCAGACAAATTATACGCAGTCTGTCTCTAGACTTCCCTTAAAATTGCTAACACCAGAAATACATTGTGCCTAATGGTGGTTTTCTCACCATGGTTTGATTTATTTTTTTTAAACACATTATTTTATTGTATATTCAGAGCCATTTGTATATTAAATTTCTATAAGTATTTAAAATAATGTATATATCTATTGTCATGATATTGCTTTTAACAACTGAAATGTTGGTGCTTGTCTAGTAAGTGCATTTAGAACATTAAATGTACAAATTAATCAGGACTTCATGCTATCTTTTTTCTGTAATCTGTGAATCATGTAGCAAGAAGTCCTTTTTTTAAAAAACAAACAAACAAAAGACAGCTTTCACAACTTCTACAGCAAAGTTGGTTGTTTTTTTTTGTTTTTTTTTTTTTATACCTCACTCACCCATCACCAGGAGCTGACTTGAGTAAAAGAAGCTTGTTTCTTTCAGAATTTGCATAAATGTTAAATAACACAGGGTGAGGAGGGAGCAGGGAGAGCAAGCAATAACTCTTGTGAAATGTAAATGACTGAGCAACTCCATTCACAATAACAAGTGGGTAGCAAAGTCTTTACGAAGCACTATGCCTTGATGTACATATATTTGTATACATTGGTTTCAAATTTACTCATTATTTACAGCTGATATGCATGTTGATCTTAAAAGGGTAGAGGAATGATTACTGTAGTTCATGATGGACTTGGACATTAGGCAAGACTTTGTAAATAACAATTATTCCAGTGTTACTTTTGATTTCAGTAATATTTAACTACTTCTAGTCTTGTATATTGTGTTCTATTTTTATACTTCATTTTGTATTTGGCAAGACTTCAGCCTGATTATTTGTGATTGAATCTGTTTTTATACAACAATAAATTTGTGACACTTTGCTATAGTTCTGGGTATTTCTGATATTATATATGAAAAGTAATACTTTAATGTTTTTGGTCTATAATATTTATTTTTTTTAACTGGAAGTATCTCAACCATGTTTTTTCTACCTTTTATATTGCAGTTTTACTGTTCTTCCTCCTCAATTTGAGATTTTTGCATTACAGTGCCATTCCATTTACCTCGATGTTTCTATAATAATGGGGAAGGCTATTTTCTAGTACTTTCTGTTCTCATCCTATATTTTTCATGTCTTAAAGATGTTCAGGAATGAGAAATATTTATAAAAATGGTAAATTATTTTAAGGATCTGCATTGTAGATAACCTTTATAGTTTACTCTTTCAGTAGCACAGAGTGAAATAAAGTGGTGCCTGTTTAAAATTTTATTGGATTGTATTGTTGCATCAATGGTCTGAGTCCTGTGAACTTCTGAAAAAAAAATAAAGTAAAAGCGTATCCATTCACTGTTTTATAAAGGCTGCTAACAAAGGCGTGGACTTGCATATACTGGAGACAGGCCCTATAATGTGTTACTTTCTATTTTAGAAAATACAGGGGAAGACATAAATTAGCAGTGGGAGACAACTTACTTCCTTTTGAAGCGAATTCTCTGGTTCTAATAATTGCCTTAGGAATTAATTTTAGAGAATGCTCAGGCTGTGGTGGTATAATAGGAGTCCAAAAGGTAAGGTGGAATTCAAGCAGTTCATTCCTTGATGAGAGGCTTCTGTGCAATTACCACAAAACAAAACAAAAAAAAAAAACTCCTCAAGCTATCTTTCAAGCTAATATACTCATAACAGTTTATTTGAGCTCTGCTAAACCAGTCACTTTGCATTTCTGTGCATCAGGTATGAGCATCTTACTATTCTACTTAAGTAGTCAGAAGTTTAAACAGGGTCAGTTCAGGATTAAGAGACCAGGGGCTGAAGCAAGAACTGTGTATCTCTTGCATGTCAGAAGGCAGGTTTCTAGAAGGGGACAGGCTGGTCTTGAGGAAAAGAGAGGATTAACTGAGCCTAACCAGAAGACCTATTCCCCTGCATGTCTTCTACCTTTGAACCAAACTCTTTTCCGGCAGTAGTGTCCATCCTGCTTATTACTTCATACTGCACGTTGAGCTAGCCCATGTGTCTTATGCAGTAGGACATGCACGCATGCTTCCACAGCATGAAAGTGTAAATGTAGGGAAAAACTTCTCTTTGAAGCAGCAACCACCTTCTCTTCCACCTTATACAAAATCAGCTTCAGAAATCAGGGGAATGATACGAAGGTTACCTGAAAAGAAGAGGCAACCTATGCATGAGATCTACCTAAACAAAAGACTTTGCTGAAACTGGAAGTAAAAATAGAGTTTCGAAATGACTCTACATCCTATTTAAGCAGTAGTTATTATTGGGTGTACAGTAATTTCAAAAGTATGCATGTTTATTTATAAACATGTTCTTTGCTGGAATCTCAGCCAAGTTTGAAGCTTGTCTCTCTTTTTAGCATTATCCCATTATTGCTTTATAGAATACAAGTGCAAAGGAAGAGAAAAGGAAAAGGTGATGGATGAACTTAGCTAAACCATCTTGCTACATCTATTTTAACACTCTTCTACACTCCCAGAGTACAGAAAAAAAGCTGCTGAGCTTTAGGTGTACCCTTGTGAATGTGTGATGCATTTATACTAATGCAGAGTAGGATGAAAGGATCCCTTTGCAAGACAGGGTTTTCACAAAGACTGAGATAGTCTGGAAATGGTGCAAGATAGTGACTAGAAGGCCTGGGAAGAATATTTACTTGCCTTACAAGTTGCAAAGGTGCACTGAAGCTGAGCTATGTGACTATGACATAGTATTTTAAAACAAAACTAGTTAATAACTAATGCTGTATTTTTTACTGTCAGGTTTGTATTTAGTCTTGAATATAAATAATTACTTGTAAATGTCAGGCATTTCCATATCTTAAAGGATTTGTAAGAACAGAAAGATTAAGCTAGCAAAAGATCTTCAAGGTATGGTTTGCAGGAAAGCTATGGGGAAAAAGAAATCCATTCTTATATTCTCATATGCAACAGCTCTTAAAGCTATAACTAGAGTAAAATGAAAAATACTTGACATTTTTAATTTTCACTTTTAGTCTATTTCACTTTTAATTAACTTTGCTGTAAATCTTTCCCTCATTTTAAAATATTGGGTCTTCTTCCTTAGATTAGGAAAGCTTCCCAGTTACGTTGACCAGTGACGTTTTGCTGTATCTTGCAAGAAGGGCATTGCCATCAGGCTTTGCAGACCCTGACGTGCTGCTCTCCCTGGCTTCTCAGTGCAGCCACCTGTTCCTGCTGGCAGCAGGCAGCTCCCGGGGGTCGTGCCGAGCCCCTGCCCGAGCCTGCCTGCGGTACGAGCGCTGTGGCCGGTACCCGCAGCCCAGCCGCTGCTCTGCTGCACAGCAGCCTTTGCATTTGAAAATCTTCCCGCAGGAGAAAGCCAAGCCTGGAGCGAGGCAGAGGAGGAGCAGCAGGTGCGGGGACGAGCCCTCCTGCCGGCTGCAGGACCCCGAGGAGCGGGCAGCTCGCAGCGGGGCTCCCCCCTCGGCTCCGAGCCCCGCCGAACCCGCACCCGGCCCCGCCCTGCCCGGGGGCGCGGAGCCGCCGCTGGAGGCGGCCGGAGGGGAGGGCAGGGAAGGGGAAAAAGAGAGCAGGGAGTGCCCCGCGGCTCGGGGCCCCGCTCCGCTTCCTCATTTCCCGCCCGGGGCCGGCGCCGATGGACCGCGACCGGCCCAAGGTGCCGCTGCTGGAGCTGCTGAAGGCCGCCGGCAACGGCCGCTGCGCCGACTGCGGGGTGGCAGGTGGGGGCTGCGAGCCCGGCACGGGGGCTCGGCTCGGCTCGGCACGGCTCGGGGGCACCGAGCGAGGCGGCGGGGGGCCGGGAGCCGGCTTCGGCACCCCGGGGGGTTGTGGAAGCGAGGGCCGGGGGCGGCGCGGCCACAGCCCCCCGAGCCCGGGGGCTCGCACCCCGCGGTGTCGCCTCCCGAGAGCGGAGCCCGCGGCGGCCGGGGAGGCGCCGGGCAGCTGCTGCTGCTCGCTGCGATAAGGGAGAAGCGAGGCGAGCCGGGGGGAAGGAAATGATCGAGCGGGATGGAGCCCTCCGAGCACCTCGGGGCTGCTCCCGGCCCTGCTGAGTTGGAGGGAGCGGGCCCCGGGCAGGGGGGCGGCTGAAGCGCTGCTCCGCCCTTAGGTCAGCAGCAAAAGTTCCCACGATGAACTCAGAAGCTCAGCTTTCCCATCGCCGCGAGGCTGCCTGCACGGTCGTATTAATTTTTAAACAAATTCTCCGTGGAAAAGCTTACGGGTTTCAGGGCTGCCGTTTCACTGGGGAAAGCAGATGTGGTTCCTTTAAATACAAAGAGGTGACAGCCTTAAACAACGGGGTGGGATTTGATGAGTTAGGTGTGAAACCTGGGCTGTACATCAAATATGTTTTTTTTGCCCTTGCCGGTGGCTGTGCCTTTTCCCATTTATCCATGCATTCTTTTTGTTTGCATCTAGATCCAGAGTGGGCTTCTTACAAACTTGGAATATTCATTTGCTTGAATTGCTCCGGAATCCATCGCAATCTTCCTCAAATCAGCAGGGTCAAATCCCTTCGGCTTGACTTCTGGGAGAATGATCTTATAGAGGTACAGAAAGAAAAGGAATAATTCACTTATTTTTGCCTGTATTTCAGCATAACCTCCTCTGACTCAGAATTCACACCATTCTCTATGAGCAGAAGAACGTAGAGCCAAGTGAACTCATTGGGTAACTTTAGGTGTTTTTTTTTATGACGTACTGAATCAAATTGCACTGATAGGTGATTGTACGTTTAACAGCCGGCGGTATCTGCGTACTGTGGCTTAGAGGCCCACAGTTACTTCCAGCTAGTATGTTTTCTTTAGTAACCAACATACTTTTCTTAAATATTGCTTCAGCCTCTCATTTTTCTATTGAATTGTGTTAACAATGCAATCACAATTTATTTCTAGGAACAGCTGAAGGTGGAGGAAGATCATAAATATATTTTCTCTTCATTGTCTTTTGTTATTTCAATTAACAACCACAATTGTGTGTTCCTTCCCATCTGGTTCAGAGCTGCAAACAGTGAAATATCTAAAATAGTGCAGGCTACAGTTCCAAAGAAAAATTTAAACTTCTGTGTAGACACGCTGAGAGTTTGGTTTAAGTTTTGTTTTATGCTCATAACACAGTATTGGTTTTGTAGTTGCATATCTAAGTGGAACTTGTTTTGTATTTCAGTTTATGAAGAAGCATGGGAATCTCTGTGCCAAAGCTAAATTTGAGGCCAAAGTCCCCCCCTACTATTACATCCCCCAGGCCTGCGACTGCTTGTAAGTTGATGATTTATTCAGTGGGGCAGACCTTTTCAGCTATCAAACTGCCGCTTCCCTCTACAGGTCTCTTTGGTTGGTTGATGAAAATAGAGTAGAGGCAGATCAGCTTTATCCATGTTTTCCTCTTTCAGGGTTTTAAAAGAACAATGGATTAGAGCTAAATATGAGCGTGAGGAATTTGTTGCCACCCGAGTCTGCCAAGATCCTTGTTCTGCAGGTAAAAGTTAGGATTGTCAGGGAAAAGGCTTTAAGGCCAGCAGCACAGTACTCTGGTTGCAACCTTGAAGATCTTTGAGGATGGCTTGCCATGTATGAGTTGCTGGACGTGCAGGCCTTGCTTTTGAGGCTGTAATTTTGAGAAGAAGCTCCCAACAAGTACAAGGTGTATTTAGCTTACATGTGTAATCTTACAGTTCTCTAGTTCTCCGCTGATTCATTCCATTTGAGGTGAAAATTCTCAGATGGAAAAGAGGCTTGAAACTCTGTGGCACATTACCATGTAGAGAAACAGTCCTGCTATAGTGCTGCCTTTGTCTGATGCTAGTCTTGGTCCCATATGCAGGTAGCCATGAAGGATTCCTCTGGAAGCGCGGGCGGGAGAGCAGACAGTTCCAGAAGAGGCGATTCCTCCTATCAGCAAGGGAAGGGATATTGAAGTACTACACTAAAGAAGTGAGTTCCCCGGCCACAGCTGGTTGTAGGTAGCTGGTCAACAACCTGCCTCAGACTCTACTCTTTACCAGTTGAAAATAGTATAAAGAGCTTTGTCTCTAGTTTTGTAGCCAGGTCAGCCTGTGTTTGGAACAGCCCAGATGTTTCTGCATTAACATCTGTGGTATCTTTCTTAGGCAATTGCTCTTTTGGATTTAGCCCTTTTCCTCATCCCTTATCTTAACCCTGCAGCCTCTTTTTGCTTAGTGAATGAAGGACACGGATACTGAATAGCAAGATGAAGAAGAGATCTGTTAGCAGATGCTACTTCTCACATTGCCAAAATATTCTGTCATCAGCTGCTGCAGTAACATCCTCAACGTCTCTCCCTTCCAGTCAGAATGTGTAGCTAATTGATCTCCAGCTGTGAGGTTGGAGAGAGAATATTTGCAGTGCAGACACATCGCTTTCCAAGAGCCAGCCAGCATTTGTGAAGGAAGGGGAGTTATTCTGTCTAACTGATTTTATGTGACACTATAGCTTTTATTCTTCGGGTATATCCAATTATAACGTACTTTAGGATGCCTGCTTTCTGTTCAGTAGGGACCTAGTTCTCATAAATTATCTATCCTCCATTGCCTTCCTTGAGACCACTTTAATACAGTGATGCTTTTAATTTCACAGACCAAAGGTCCAAAAGCCGTTATCAGCATTGAGAAACTGAATGTGATGTTCCAGACAGAGAAAATCCAACATGCTCATGGACTGCAGATCACATACAAGACAAATGGTCAGACAAGGAACCTTTTTGTCTATCACGAAAGTGGAAAGGTGAATACCACAGAGATTTTGGAATGAGAAAGATTCTCTGATGTTGGATATATAATTTGGAATATATACCTGTTTCTGCAGGGTCTGATTTTTCTCTGAAATCACTATGACTTGTAGAATATAGAAAGTTGCAGAATTTTACACTAGTAATTTTAACGTCTTGCTCCTGTTCTATTGGGGCAGATAGGCTTCATTGGTGCACACATGTAAATCTCTGTAAGGTAACTGTCTAATGGTTTTATATAATTCAGTGGTTTTATTCTTTGAAGCCTTCTTGACACACATGGAAAATATTGTTGCTCTGCATTATTTTCAAACAGACTGATAATTTTAAGTACATCTACAGGTTTTGTTAGATTTCTGTTCCTTCCTTGCCATAGTTCTGAAGTGTTTCCAGGTACACAGGTGGTTAAACAATCCATAACTGAACCAACTGAAAAAGCCTCTGACTTGGGTTATTCTCCATGCTGAGGATGTCCAGGACCTTCTCGGACATTTAAAATTTTTAAAGTTAGCATTTAAAAATTATTTTGGAGGCTCGGTGTTTTTCAGGTGTCTGGGACAAATTACTCTCTCTGGACCTTGGGGAGAAACTGCATCTTTGTAAAGAAATCAGAATGAAGGAGAAAGGCCTTTTTGGAAAGGCAGTGTTCTTACATGTTATTTTTGTCTTTATGTTTGTCTTTGCTGTTTTCCCTAGGAGATTGTTGACTGGTTCAATGCCATTCGGGCAGCACGTTACCATTATCTTAGAACAACCTTCCCAACTGTCCCTGAGTCTGAGGTGAGAACTGAACAGGGCTTGAAGCGGTCTGCTCAAACACAGCATGGGAAAACATTTTCTCACTTCTGCCAGAGCCAGGTGCTCAAACAGCTGCATATGGGTATGGAAATGCCAGCTGCTTCTCTCTGGAGAAAGAGGGAGGCTGTCATACCAGGCTGTTCTTGAGACCTCCATGGTGGCTGTCCTCCAGTGTGCCTCAGCCTGGTGCTAATGTTGGGATTTGGAGGCAGCAGCTTTAAAGTACATGAAACTGGTACAGGTATCCGTGGAACTACTGCTGGACTGTGCGATGGCATTGGGGAAAAATAGATCTGCAGAGCAGATACGTAGAAACAATTGTTCAAGAAACAGATAGAGGCCCTCCATAAACAGAGAGAGGAACTCCATAATGCTTACTCAGATAATCCGTCAGGAGGTAGTACTTTTGTTTCCCTTCTTATTTGAAATATCTGAAGCTCTTTTTCTCTGAACAGCTTGTTATGGATGAACTTGTAGAGAAAAACATCAATCACATCCTTAATCTTTTTTCCTTCTCCTGATCCACTCTGGACATAAAAATTAAATCTTTGCTTTTCAAAGCGTATCTGTGTTTAGCCATACCAGCTGTGAGCAAGAAGAGTAACACCTTTAATCACTCATGCTCAATGTCTCTGTTAGTGCCAACACAAATATTCTTTAATACTCAGCTGCCTTAGAGATGGAGTAAAGGCAAGTCTTTTAATGACAAATACAAGGAAGCAGAAGCTAATTTGGGCATCTGTGTTTTATCTCTTACTTTGACTTGCTGGTCATCTTTCCTGGCAGGAGTATTGGGTTCTCAAGTAAACACAAAGATGGTCCGTCCCACATTATTCCTTTCCTTGCATTGGGCATCACTGAATTTTCTTTTTCTTCTGTTGTCCTTCACATTCCTTAACATAGCCACTTCTCTGATCATGGATAGGTGGAACTAAGATCTTTTTCAGAGCAGCCAGACCACAGCCAGGCTACATACGGTGCCAAATTAGTAGGTGAGCCTTGGAATGGATGGAAGCTGCAGAAGAAAAGGCTGCACAAAAGTCTGTGTGTGGTTCTCTTAACGTGTAATCTTGCAACAATTTTATGTTCCTTCTTAATTCAAACTTCCCTTTACTGAGCAGCCAAAAACAACCCCAACCATAAAAGCCAAAATTGACGCTGATTTGCCTTGAAAGAAACAGAACAGAAAAGCAAGCTTGAATGAGATTGCAGACCTTTTTGTGTGTGTGTTCTCCTAGCTCGTACCGCGGATCACAAGAAATTACGTCAAAGAAGGATATATGGAGAAAACGGGACCAAAGGTAGGTTCAGCTTACATGCATAGTAGTACACAAACAGGATTCTTCTGGAAGGGGTTTATTTGATAATGCTATAATTGTTTACTAGTAAGCAATTCCTTGAGTGACTGCGTGCTTCCTGGGTTGATAAAAGACATTGTTAAGCCTGTTGTGTTCTTGGGGTCATGCTGTATTTTGTGCAGGAAAAAACAACTGTGAAGAAGGATCCTCCTTGAAATGTAAGTGAGATGGATTGGCTGGCAGTGGAAATGCTAAGTACTGTTGGGCAACACTGAATAGGTTCCCGTATCAGTTGCCTGCTGACTGCAGCTCTAGAACTGCAGCCACCTCTAGAACAGAACATCACATGATAACTCCCTTACTTCCCTATTTCTCTTGAAGTCAGTAGCACAGAAGTCATCTGTTTATAGCAGCAAATTCTTAGGTCTTAAGCCTATGTTGGGTTGTGGGCTTGTTTGTTTTCTTGTGGGAAGTTATTTGGGCTGCTGCTTCTTGGAACATCAGAGGGAGATTGGGAGATTTCAGGCTCTGCTGAAGGAGCAGAGAAAGAGCACAATTCTTCTCTGGGATTTTTCTTTACCAAACTACCATCTCCCTGCAGCAGAAGGAGACCTTCAAGGTGCGCTGGTTCAGCCTGGACTGTCAGGAGAGGAACCTGCTATACTTTAAAAATCCACTGGTAAGAGGGGTGTATCCCCCAAGCCCCTTCACAAAGGTGGGTGGGAAGAAGGGGTCTGTTACCTGACTCTTCCAGTGGCTGCATAAGACAGTGGGCTCAGTCTCAAGAGCTCATCTCCCTTACAGGTTGTCATCTCCCTTATAGGTAGGTATCTTTGAAGCTGAGCAGTTTGGGAACTCTGTCCCTTACAGTGGCTGTGAGGAAGATCTTAGTCTTTTACAAATAGCTTCCTGCTGCCTGTCAGTAGATCAGTGATCCCTCCACACATCCCCAGCTCCATGTCAAAGGACAGAACAATGTCTGCTGGAGCTGTACTATCCGCTGGCTAATGACTGTCTTCTGTTTCATTCTTTCTAGGATGCATTTGCACTGGGCCAGATTTTTATTGGAAGGAAGGATGAGGGCTACGAAGTACGAGCTGGCTTGCCCCAGGGAGTCTGTGTGAAGAAGAGGAAACCAGGGATCACCATGGTCACACCAATGCGAGAGTTTTTGTTTATATGTGAGAACGATAAGGAGCAGAGGGAGTGGATAGATGCCTTGAATGGAGTCATTGCCCAGCCTTTGACTGGTTAAGACCAACAGTGAGTTCTGGTGAACTGCACTTCTTGGGCTCTGTTCAGCACTGGTCTGCAGCCTCTGTGATGTTCAAGCCCCCTCAGTGACTACCACAAAGGGCTTCCTTCAACAACTGAAGGCACAGGGAGGGTGGCAACAGAGAAACAAGTAAGGTGGAGTGCAGATATTCGAAAATGATCTGTGTCTCTGCACAGCCTTCCTCTAAAGTGCCTTCTGTCTTCCTTCCCTTCTCTGCTTTTGAGCAGAGGAGGCCTTCCCAGACTGGTGTTGGGATAAATCGGCCGGTGTTCCCTTATGGAAAAAAAAACAATGTCAGTGGAGAAAGTCTGACCACAGAGGGCTGGCATGAATTTCCTTGAGGACTCATGCAGGCAATGTCACATCAGATCCTCCTTTTCTTGCTTTGGTCTGATAGCAAATCCAGAAGGATGTACTTGACAATCCACCCGGTGGCATATAGTCTGCCAGTGAATGTGATCATCTGTTACATGAGTGCATAGAATGAGTGACCAAGAGGCAAGACATCACCACCTACCAAGATGATGCAGGGCATCCTGTTGGGTAGACCAAAGATATAAATTCATGCTGGAATAATTGGATGAATCTTTCTCAGGAAGGAGCAGAGCCAGGCAGCTATAGTCTACCTGACTGCAGCTCCTATCCAGACAGGGACATGTTTCTTTTCCATGGAGTGGTTTTAATGCCTTTTACAGTGTTAGATTTCTGTCACAGAAATTGTAAAAAAAATAAAAGTCAAGTTTGAATTGTGGAGAATACTGTAATGGAATCACTCTAATGACAGATGTCCCTAGCTCCTTGCTTTCAACAGTCTCTGCTATTTGATTCTTTTATGAGTGGCAAATGAGACATGTAAAGACTTTTTTTTTTCTTTTCCAAAGCAACCCCCACATACTGCCTCAGTCAAGACGAGTTCAGGATGAAGACACATTGATTGGTATTACCTCCTAAAAACAGCTAAAGCTTTGGGTCATGAGTTCACTTACTGAATTTGAGTAGTCTGAGCAGTGAAAGGCAGAAGTCAGTTTTAAAAGTGCTGTCTTCCTTGGCTTGTTTGAAGACACTCAATGTATGAGGACCAGCACGGAAAGCACAGAGTGAGTGCCTCCTGATCAGGTGCTACGTACATCCATTCTGCGCAGGAATGGGTGAGGATTTGCACTGGCTCACAAAGGGCACTGAGTGTTTTCTTGCCTCACAGCCAAGCCCAAGATTTGGTTCTACCAAGAAGTCAGTCATTCAGATATTTAATTCTTCTTTTCAGATTCCCTTAGTTTGCAAATCAAGCGGAAGTCTTGCAAACTAAGCTTCTGGTAAAGCTTCCACCTTTTGCTGTTGCTTGCCAGCCAGTCTAAGGCACCCCAAATAGTTCTACAGAAAGAAGGAAGTACCAATATATGCAGGGATTAGTGTGATTAACTCTTTTTTTCCCACAACAGTACAGAAAATTTGACTTGGTTCATCATTCTGTCTGTCTTAGTCAACTCATCATCTTCCAGCCTTGAACAAACTGCAGGAGTTTTGCTTCCTGACATTCTCCCATAAACTCCCTGATGTTTCTGTTCTTTCTTTCCTCTCCCCATACGATCTGGGGAATTACAGTTCACGTGCTGGTTCAGCAAATCTTGTAACAGCCTCATCCTGCAGCTCCTGAAATCAACAGCGAGGCACTTGTTGAAGATCATAGTCTGGTTTGAGATGCTTTTTTTTATTATTTATTTTGAGGTGAGCTGAGCAATTCTGGATGATCTCAAAAAGTTTAGTCCACCCAGAAGCCTCAGCTTCACGGATGGGGTTCCCTGTGTGATGTCCGGGAAAGGTCAGCAGACCAACCGTGTCAGCAACCCTGTTACAAAACCAGGAAATTCCCAGAAGAAAAAAAAAAAATGCTACTGTGCGAAGACGACAACTTTTTGCAGACTGGAGGCGAGGTTACGGAGAGCTCCGTGTGACGGTACCTTCCTACAGCCAACCCAAGTCCTGGCGCCGAGCTGAAGGCAGCAGCAGCACCGGAGCCCGGCTTCGCGGGTGCCCCGGGCCTTCAGCTGCCGGTAGCCCCGCACCGGGCCCGGTACAGCACCGAGCCCAGCCCCACACCGGGCCCGGCCCCCCCGGCGGGAGGCGGCGCCCCGAGGAAACGAAACCGCGCCGCGCTTCCGCTCCGCCCCGAGCAGGACCATGGCTGTCCCAGCGGAGCTCGGTCGGCTGCTGGCAGACGTGGAGCTGAGCTGCTCCTGCTGCCTGCAGTACTTTACCGAGCCCGTGCGGCTGGCGAGCTGCAGCCACAGCTTCTGCCGGTCCTGCATCGACACCTACTGCAGGGGGAGGCGGCGCGCCCCCTGCCCGCTCTGCCGGGAGGACTTCGAGCCGAAGGACCTGCGGCCCAACCGGGAGCTGGCCGCCCTGGTCAGCCTGGTGCTGGGCGGGGGAAGGGGCGAGGGGCTGGGGGCGTGGGACCAGTCCACAGCCTCTGGAGATGGTGCCGGCGGTGGATGCAGCTCTGCGTGGCGGCGACCCGGGGAGAAGGTAGGGGAGGGGGCGGCCGGGGCTTCCCCCCATCCTGGGTACCAGTTTGGGAAGGGAGCTGTGGCTCAGGCTGAGATAACTTCATCCTGCTTTCTGCTTCATTCTGCTTCCCCCCCCCCCCCCCCAGTACTGAGCATTTCACGTGTTGTTGTCACAACACGTTGTCATATCGGTGTTGTCAGAACTGTGCCATTCACTCGGGCAGACGGGTTTTGCTAAGGCACTGTTTGGGGCTGATTGCTGGAGCCTGGTGCATTGGTTGTGTTGGAAGAGCTGCTAGCTGGATGTGCCCAGCTGATCCAGGGTTGTGATAACTGGCTGATCATCGTGCTGGAGGGACAGGAGCCAAATGAACACTAGAAAAAGCCCGTTATGTTCAGTCAGTTTAGGACTGAGAAGAAACCTCAAACATCTCTCTTAACATCTTTCTTAACCTGTTTTTCTGCCTTCTGTCTCTTCATCTCTCAGCTATTTAATTTCCTTCTATTGCTATTCTTCACTCTTACCTTTTAATTCCTCCAGTTAAAACTTGTAATGAGCAAATGATGTAATCGCAGTGCACTGCATCCTTCGCAGGAGGTTAGCACCATCTCTTCACGTTACCTTGAGCACTGTGCATCCTGGAGGGCAGTTGTTTCGTATTTCAGTCACTGCCAGCTCTTTCCCTCCTCTTTTCACAAACATCTTTGGTGGTGTTATTCACTGCATCGGCACGGCACTGGAGACTCCTGAAATGAAACACAGAGTTATGATACAGTGCTACAGCTCCACCCAGCTGAGTGACACAAAACGGGACTGGTTCGTTGTCTCTGCTTAAAATAACTCTTAAATCTTGGAGGAGATGAGCAAAACCTGGTTATTGACTTCGTTGTTTTAACTTTGTGCACACATGTATCTAAAAAGTCTTGGTCTCTACAGCAAAGGAAAGGGCTTAAGCTCACAAATGACTTCTGACTGTTGAATGTTGACTTTGCTGTAATTATTCACACTCAGAATTGTGTCCTCCAGCCCCACAGTGAAGCAGCCAGCGCCTAACTCTCAACAATGTGAGGATTTTTATCACCCTGCTGTTGAACCTAGTCATGTTCTTTTGGAGGGTGGTGTTTTCTTGGAGGGCGGTATAGATAAATGCTCAAATGTGTCACTTTAAAGGAGGAACAGATCCGTGACATCTCTAAGCAACTGGAAATAACTAAAGAGACCATCAACGCCTTGAGGAAGGATCTCAGTAAAACAAAGGTATGCACTGTACTTCAATATCTGCAGTTACCTTCTGTTTCCACTGCCACCTTGAAACCTGTGACTGACTCCAGTGGGCCTTCCAGCCCAGAGCAGGGATCTCTCTTTCTGTCTCCTTCTGTTGCTCTCACAATTCACTCTTGTCAGAAAAAAAAAGAGAACTGTGGCACCAGCTGTACTGACATCTTGGCTGGCACTAAAGCCACAGAAATTGTGCACTGTTGCTCTTTTCTGCCTACCCCAGGAGTAGCCTGGGACTCTTAGATAAATGATTAATCTAGAATATTGATCTTTGCTAAATTGTCAAACAAAGATTGCTGGCCACAAAACAGTCAACATCTTTAACATGCCCAGATTCCCATTGCAGGCTATGCAGGATAGTGTCAAAAACGTTTTATTCCTTTGAATAGGGCTAGGTATTTCTGTTCAGTTAAAGAGCACATTAAATGTGGCAGTAAATTCTCATATTCCACTGATCTTCTTTTCTAACAACACAAAGAGCTCCATGTTTTCTGTCTTTCAGGAATATACATCTCAGATCCTAAGCCAGATTACTGAAGACTTCTGTTGCATGAAGGAATACATTGAAAGACAAGAGGAAAACACACTGATGTTCATTGAACAGGAGCAAAGAGCAGCTCGACAGAAGATTGTGCAGACTATTCACCAGCTCTGTGTTGAAAAGTACAAACTCATCGACATCAAAGCCCAGATGGAGAAAGGATTAGAAAGTGATGAAATGGAGTGGCAGACTGTGAGTAAAAAGTCTTAAGCTAAATGTCTTGAAGAGCTGGACATGTACAGAGTGCTTTCGGGTCCCCGCTGCACTGTTCTCACTGTAGACAATGATACTGATCCACAGGCATTGGGTGGTGGTGCCAGTGGCACTCTGGAGTGGGAAATTCAGAGGCAAAAAGTACCAGAAAAAGCTTAGGCTGTGGGTGCCAATTCAGAGCTAGGTTTGTTCCAAGGAGGCCGGTGAGCTGGAAGGAAGTGGGACTGTATTGCCTAAATCCAATCCTGAGTCAAATGTAAGGCTAAAGATTCCCTATTTTCTTTTAATTTTCCAGAAGAAGGAATAAAAAAGTACCTATACATATGCAAATTAAAGAACTCACCGTTATTAAGTACTTCCTAATAACCTTCTGGGGAAAACTATGTCAAGAGCTCTCAAAAGAGGCAATTAAAATACTTGAAATTCTGCAGAGCCCATTTTGATGTTGAAGACAATGCCAGTGGTGCTAATTAGCCAGTGGCAATTTGGAATGGGACTCTGGTGTGACAGGGCTAGGAGACAGAAGTGAACTGCTAGAGGCCTACGCTGGAGCTCACCTCATATAACTGTATGTATTTATACCTGATCCAGACTCCCGTTACAGGCAACGAAGAGAAACAGGTACTTTTGGAGCGTGAGTCATCTGGCCTACTTGAGACGCCTACCTTCGAATGGGAGTCATCGCTCCTTCAGAATGCCTGTTTCTGTCCGCAGACGATAAAGGCAGATTAAGAGAACACGCTTGGATATAGAATTCCACAATTTCTAAATTTAGGCAAATGAGGTTTACCCATTTCTTGGTATTTTATGCTAGATTTCACACTAATTATTTTTTAAAACTTTGGGTTTGGTTACATGAAGAAAGTTAAAAAGAGAAAGTTTATTTATGCATATATAAAATTAATGAAATTGTAATCAATTTAAGGAAAAAAAATCCCATTCTTAGTTTTCTTGGGGAAAATAGATTGTTTTATTTTTGATCAAGAATAAACTGTCCTTTCACATTTTCTGTAACTTTTCAGGTTATTTCTCTTAGGTAACTATCTTGTTAAAGAAGATCTCCTTTCAAACAATAAGATTTTAGAGAGATCACTGCTGCTTTTCAACTCTGGCATTATAATATCACCTGGTATACTACATGAAATAACTGATACTGTTTACATCTTCCCCTTGATTCTTCTTTCATGTCATTCCTAGAGTAACTTACTTGAGAGAGGGGGAGGCTCACCTTCAACAATGCATAAATTTACAATTGATGAGAAGTTTAATGTTGTCAGAAGTGCTGTAGGAGATCTTAAGAGAAAGTTGGAAATTTTACTTTTGGAGGAATACCCTCAGCAGTTCCCACCAGGTGAGTTTTCCTTATTTTGAAATCCTCTTTAGAGGGAGTTAACTTTTCTGACTCCTCCATTCTGACCACCATGACGGTAGCTGTGCCCTGGTAATCTTGAATAAAAACATTTCTCTATACATCCTTTGACAATTTTAACAATCAAAAACCCAGCTCTTTGTTTTGTAGTTTAACTGCCAACTACATTTATTTTACATTTTCCATAAGATACATAAATACCTCCTATTTACATTTTGACGACGTGTCTTTAACTTTTTCATACACACTTTAACACTTTAACTTTTTCATATTTAGCACAATCTCCAGACTTACACCAAGAGACAAGTGTCTGTTCATTATCTTCAGAGTCTGCAGCTAAAAGTCCAGAACCAAGCATTTCGAGCCAGTTTTCTCGGTGTAAGTATGCAAGCAAGCCAGCATGACTCTTCAATAACAATATTCAATGACTATGACTGGATTTGCTGAAGAAAACCATACTTCCAAACATCTGCCAGAGATCTGTTTAACTGAAATCTAGAAACTATTAAATTTACCATGAATTAATCAGTCACTGCAGCACAATGTAATACTACACCTGACTGCATGTGGAAGATAAAAACATTAAGAAACCTGTTCCATGAAGGTATAAGCTGTGTTGTAGCTTCTGCTGCCTGCAGATTCTGTTTTGGTGTTTGGGCAGTTACTGCACCTTACTGGCCTTTACTGCATTAAGCCACAATCACTCTTATTTGTTGCCTGAATTCTGCATTGCTTTTACAGAAATATTTTTACAGTCAACACACGGTGCTACAGCTGTAGCATAAACACAATATTAATATATTTTCTTATACAACATGCGAGAACGTGTCCCAGTGAACAGATGATAATGTAAGTTTTCTTAAAGTAAGCATCTTTTTTTTGTTGTTGTTGCAAATGGATAGTTTTGTTATAAGACTGGTATCAAACAAGATTCATTCTCAAGGGTGCTGCCAAGTGTCTTCACCTTACTTTGGAGTGCAAGAGTCTGTCACAGATGTTTACCCAGTTGTGCCTGTTAAATTTTTCAGTGTGCACTGGGCTCAGGATACAGTCATTAGCATTTGGTTGAGGATTCTTGCTGACATGCAGGATTGGACTTTGCTTAAGGCTTATCGTGTGGTCATTGGCTTTCATTTTGGTTCTTGAGAAGGGATGTACATCCACTGTTACTTAGGATGCAAGTAAATACTGAAGAGATCTGTTTTCTTATGCCTGGAGCTAAGTATATTTTCCTTTCTCTCTTCTAGGGGCAGATAATGTAACTTTTGATCTCACCACAGCATATGACCGCTTAGCAATCACAGCTCAGAACAGGAAAGTAATGGTGTCCAGCAACCCAACTTACTATGAACCATCACTCAAGAGATTCTGCATCAGCCAAGTGTTGTGTTCCCAGGGCTTCTCTACTGGCTGCCACTACTGGGAAGTAATTACCAAGGACAGTGATGGATGGGCTGTTGGAGTTGCTCGTGGAACGATTGGTAGAAGGGACAGATTAGGAAGAACAGAGAGTTCCTGGTGCGTAGAATGGGTAGGTCCCCAAAAGCAGTTGTCAGCATGGCACAGGAATCAAGAAACACTATTACGCAATGATAAACCATTGAAGGTTGGAGTTTTCCTGGAGCTACAGAAGACAGTGTCATTTTATGCCATCACTGACAGAGAAATGCTTTTGCATACATTTGAAATCAATAACTCAAATCCTCTTTATCCTGCTTTCTGGCTATACAGTCTAGATAAAAATGGATCTTTAACTATAAATCACATAAACAGGAAGTAAAATCAAAAAGATTGCAGAGCTTCTATGCCAGCTTCAGTGTTTAGCAGAGGAATTTGCCAAACCACACAGAAGTACTCAGACTTTCCTGGAATTTAGCAACTGATACTTTCTTTGCATGCTTTCCTTCATGCTCTGCTCTGCTCTAGTCATACTTAGTTAAAGCAATTCCAATGTATGCTAAAGGCAGTAACCATTCCTGTGGGAGTGAGATGGATTTCTGAAGCAGCTTCAAGCAGTCCCAAGATGCACCAAGGAAGAAACGGACCAAGGAAAATCTGAAGCTGGTGATATCCCCACATATGGCCATGGACTTCATCTTCCTACACTGATCCAAAAAATATGGAAGAGATGAAGCTGTTTCATTGTGTTGAGTGAGCTTTCTTTAGAAAGGTTTGATTGAGTAAGAAATGCTCAGAGGGCAAGTATGTTACATGTCTTTTATCTTTAGGGTAGGTACTAAACTACAGGCACTTGAGTGTTTTGGGACCTGGCACCTCAGGGAAATCTCCCAGAAGACCATCTTGTCTCACTGGCGCCATCTCTTGCTTTAGTCTAACTCAGACCAGATCTTTGTCATTATCTTGGTAGTGTTTTGACTGTGGAGATGGTTTTGGAAGCAGCTGTTTTCAAATGTTTTTGTACTAGCTAATGAAGCGTGCCCATTCTTTCTCTTTTAAAGAGCCCCCAGACAGGCCTGCATCAGGGAACAGCCCATCTTTTCTGGCCAGAGGCTGAGGAAAGGAAATTCTTGAGTTTCCTTGCCAGTGTACAGGCACTCTTTCTCTCCTTAGTTGCCACATCTTTGTGGCTGAAGGGAGGTCCCTGTTGCTGTGTGGGGTGAAGGGGCCCAAGCTGAGATGCTGCAGAAACTGCTGACAGCCAAGGTTTGGGGAGCACCGCTGCTTCATGCAGCCAAACTGAAAACAGAGTTCCCAAGAAGCAAAAGCTCCTTCAGGAAGAGAGTGGCATTCCGGAGCACCCCGAACATGGTATAATGGATGCTTTGGTGTATGTGATGAACAGAAATAGGATAAATTTCATGTGAATAAAGCATGGGGGATTTACCTAGCTCACTTAGCCAAACAGCAATGCGTGACTTTTAAAGTCACTGACAGAACTGCTGGTGATTTTCAACATTACTCTCCTTTAAGCAACCTTGTCCTAAGTCTCCCTGAACACTTTGTAGTCACTTTGGACTAAAATGCTCCTCTGTAAGGTGCCTGCAGGTGTGCATATCGACTTCTACAAGTAGCTAACGCTGCTGCCTTGCTCGGACCTTACCTGATCCATCTGGAGAAGGCACAGCAGCAGCACAGGCAACCCGCTGGGCATCTCTGACTGTGCTGCATGGCCCAGGAGCAGCAGCCGGTTATGTTTTCTTCACAAATTACCACACGATTTGAAAGCGAGCGCTTCGCATCGCTTGGGCTGTGTCTCTGCGTGCCAGACGCGCTCAGCTGGCCGGCGCAGCAGCGCGTTAGGGTGCGTGAGGCAGAAACCTCGCCCGGCAGCCCTGGGGAACCCAACTCCTCCTCACGGGGACAGGGCGCCCCGGGGACCGCGCAAATCACCTCAGGACGGCGCCGCCCCGCGCAGCCGCCGGGGCTGTCCCTCGGCAGCCGCCGTAGCGAGCCCGCCGCAAGGCGGCGGCGGCGGCGGTTGGGAGGGGGGGGGGAGACCGGGCGTGAGGGGCCGGCGCCGTGAGGGGCTCCCGGGCCGCAGCCGCGCCGCTTCCCTCCGGCCCAGCCCGATGTGAGCCGCCCCGCGGCCGCGGGCAGCGAGCGGGGCCATGAAGAAAGACGTGAGGATCCTGCTGGTGGGAGAACGTGAGTGCGGGAGGGCCCGGCACGGCCTCCTCCGCCCGGCACGGCCCCGGCAGGGGAGCCCCGGCCCTGCGCGGGCCCCGGAGCCTCCCCCTCTGCCCCGCTGAGGGCGCCGGGCGTGGGGCTGCGGGGCTGGCGGGGGGCGGCCCCGGAGGGCACCGGGCTGGGGCGTTTGGGCCCGGGGGTGGCACCAAACGGGTCTGTCCGCGGAGGGAGAGAGCGCTCCTGGGGGACAGGGGCTCCGGGGGGCGGCGGGGGCAGGGGGCCGGGGCTGGGAGGGGGCCGTGAGGGGACCGGGAGTGCCGAGCCCGGCTCCTGCCGTTAACTTGTGTGACCTTGGGTAAGCGCCGCGTACCGCCTGAGGGAGCGTGGGGCTGCGCTTTTTCATTTGTTTCCAAAGCTGTGTCCTTAAGTTCACATCTGGGTACCCAAATCAGCGGTTAGGCTTTCAAAGGCGCAGCCCCTTGCTGATGGAAGCAGCAACAAGGAGGTTCTGTGTTGTTAGCTTGTGAAGTGCTCTCAAGTTCCTCACAAGAAAGGAGCACAAAGTAATCGCTGACTGTTGCTCGTAAAACTACCTAATTATACGAGGAGCAAAGTGCTCCTGACAAAGCTTTCCTGAGAACTGAATGCCTCATATATATTTATAGTATAGTTCATGCGGTTATTTTGTAGTGTTCGGCTGGCTCTGTCTGCACTGCCTAGAAAGATCCTCAGTGGCTTTAGAGAGGAATCTCTAGGGAGATAATGCTAAACAGGAAGAATTAACTCGTTGAAGTTTTATTTTTCTAGCTTCACAAGACTTGTTTTATTTAGAAATGCATTTGTGGATGTAGAACACACGGCTGCATTCCTCTTCAGAGCACAAATTCCTAATCTGCCTTTGCTTTCTTGGGCAATGAGTTGAGGCTACAGATTTTAGACTTACACTTACCAGGCTGAAGCTAACTCACGGAACATGCTGTTTAAAATTGGACTGAGCCTTTATTGCTTAATTTAAAATTAGTTGGTCTTCTGCTTATATCTGTTGTGCTGGATTTTTTTTTTTTATATATAATCGTGGTAAATGGGAAGAAGAACTTGTATAAAATCATTTGAGTTAAGAATTTTTAAAGTGTTAGCTGCATGCTTTAGCTGCAGAATGTGTGTTTAAGAAGGGAATGATCTGAAATTAAAAGGAGTTAATTTCCATTTTCCTATTCAAAGTAGCCCCCCAGTACTCAACTGGCTGCACCATAGTAAAAGAACTTTCTCAGGATGTTACTCCTGAAAAAAATAAAAAAAACTCTTCAGGAAGAAGGGTGTTCCAAGGTCACACTGGGGTGTTCTGAACTGGTTCTGTAGGGTGGTGAAGTACAGGTGGAGCAAGTGCTCAGATTTTGGCAACTGGGATCGCAATGTGTCCAACTGAAAATTTCAGGGGTATGGTTCTCTTAACTAATAGCAACATCAGAGATTGTGAGCATCTTTGTTTTTTAAAATTTGTGAGCACAGAAGGGAGATATCGACAGGTTTTTCCAATTTGTAAAACCAGTTATATTATTAGTGCTGTTTTGTATGTGTGACTTTTGTATTTAACTTGCTGTTTTAGGCCAATAAATAAAAAATCTGGACCATGCAATAACCTGCTGGATGATAGAAGCAGTCTGGCAGGTTCAGACTCTGAAATATCATGGCAAGACCTTTTGTTGTCACGCTGTTCCAAAACAGCTTTTTTTCATCCCAAGTGGTCTACATTTTAGATTTAAGGTTGTTTTAGTCCTAGTACCCAGGGTGCAAGCATAAATTTTTAATAGCTGATAATTTTCAGAATACATTCAGCGTGTTACTTTTAAACAGCATGATCTAAAAGGCTTCCATATGTGAGAAAAAAGAGAAGACCGGTTAATCATCACAAAATGCTGTGCTGTTTTCCTCATCCTAGTCAGCCAGTGTTGTTTAGGCTGTTACTTCTAAGGCTATAAACAGAATTGGAAAGACAAATGGCTGACCTAGATTCAAGCAAAATAAACCAAATCTCTCCACCTGAACCTATGTATCTATACAGAAGCACCTCTAGAACACTTTATCAGAAGCTTATACTCAGGGTTTCTGTCCTAACCAGCAGTTCATAACCTTCTATTTTCAGTCCCGTTAAATAAATAAAATGATCTTGTATGTTTGCAAAGCCAACATGCTTTGCACCACTTCAGATGAAAGCTGACTCAGTCAGATGCAAAATATGCTCCAGAATTTTGTGTAGTTATTAGATAACTTCTCTTACGTATCAGGAAGGTATTTATCTAAGGAAACAGGAGAGCTTTTAAGTTCTCATTCTGTCAGGATGAAGAATATTAAAATGTAGCTTGTGCAGGAGGATGCCTGGTAGTGTAAATTACTGTTTTAGCTTGTTTGAGCATCCTTGATGAGAACACAACCATACTGCTGGTAAGAAACTTGCTTCTTACTGCTGTCCAGTTAATGCCACTGAAGAAAATATGTGTCTGTTCTCACTAAGGAAGGCAAAAGTCTTCCTACCCAGGGTTACTTTTCCCTTGCTTTTCATAATTTTGTAATAACCACTCTTTCTCTTTCTACATTGAAGAGAAGCTTTTATTTCTGGATGTCCGAAGGCCCTTTGTTACTATTACTAAACATAGACTTGGACAAGTTGATGGTACTTTGACTGGATCATCAGCTTAGTAACGCCATTTTCTGCATGAAAACAAATTGGTCTTACAATTTTGTTTCTTCCTTCCGTATTCAGACTTGCATACAATTAAATAGGCAAGTGTAAATTGCAGTAATGTCAGCAAAATAGCTTCTGTGAATAGAAGAAATTTTTATAGTGTTTTCAATAGGCACAGTGATACAGGCTCTGACTGATTGCAAGCAACGTCTTAGTTGGCAAACCGCTTATGCCAGCAAAGATGCTCTATGTCCAGGATGAAATGATTTTGGTTAATGGTGGGCTGTCAAAACTGTACAATGCCAGATAGTACTTGAATCTAAAACTAATGTTCCTATAGAAAGGTGTCAAAAATAAAGCTCTAATAGTCTTTCTAGGCTTTCAAAAGAACAGAAAGTTGACAGGTGAAGGCTTTCAGGAAGGGGGGAACCCCAAGAAAAGTCATTAACTCTTAATTTTAAGCGATCACATTAAAGATTCGCAAACCTAAGAAATCCAACTGCATTATCAGCAGTCATGACTTCATAGGTGAACTGAATTGTATAATTAAATTTAATTGAATATTGGAGGAGAGGTGATTTTTTTCCTATTTAAATTAAGAAAACCATGGCATTAGAATACGTCTGTGTTTTGTTTTGTTCTCTTTTTACTTTTTTTTTTGTGAGGGACAGAATTTGCGTCAAGGAGATTATGCTCTTGCAATTTCAAAGTAGTCCAGCTAGTTTGTGGAGATTTTGTCCACTGATGATGGTGCCACATCTTCTTGTTCAGCTCTTATCCTCAGTAGTTTGAAGCATAATCATTGTAACAAGAATACTATAAAAATATTTAATTCCTAAATACCTTTCTGTGTGCTTCCTTAGTTTCC